CGAAGCGTGCTCAAGTCATTCAAAGAGAAGGTATCTGGTATTTAGCACCACTAGCATATGGCTGAATAAGAAAGGACACAATAATGACAGGGTCCAAAGATTCAGCTGAAAGAGCAGTAGCTGTAACAATGAGAACAACATGATGGGATTTTTGGAACAGTGGAAAAAGTCCATCTATGGAAACTGCCAACTTTGATATTAAGGAATACAGATGCCACTGCCTACTAGCAGCTCTGTGCTTCGAACTCGGCATCACCAAGACCCTTGTCCCTCCTACCCGTCACACCACTGGCAGAAGCCTGTGCTCATATTTCTCAATAGGGCTGAGGCATCAAAATTGGGATTCATTTGCTTTTGGAACTGGCAAGATCTCAGTCCCTTTGTACTGCTGGGTTTAGAACAGAATTGAGACGCACACAATTTGGTTTGGCAATCTTTATATCCACAATACATAATTAACCATGCACAAAAATCAAATGATGCATATATTTACAAAATGAATTGCACTTAACTGAACACAAGAACCATAAGTCAAATGTAGATGAAAAGAACCTCTCTTAGTTGCATAAAGGTCCTGTGCTATAGCCCATAAATCCCAATAGACAACACTACAAATTGAGACGCACACAATTTGGTTTGGCAATCTTTATATCCACAATACATAATTAACCATGCACAAAAATCAAATGATGCATATATTTACAAAATGAATTGCACTTAACTGAACACAAGAACCATAAGTCAAATGTAGATGAAAAGAACCTCTCTTCTTAGTTGCATAAAGGTCCAGTGCTGTAGCCCATAAATCCCAATAGATAACACTACAGAAGATTTTCTGGTGCATTTTGAAATAAATACAAACTACTGTAATTAACTGCAATGATGCAGCCCTGGAGATGGTTTTTCTGGAAACGTCCCACTGCTCACCATTCTGAGCTACAGAATACTAGGTAATAGTCCTGCTGTGGTCTTCTTCAGAAGCCAAGGGTCTAAGTTAAGCCCAGAAGCATAGTCTCAGCTAAGGATAATTTTAACCTTCACTTTCAGTTGCCTGATTTTGCCTTTTTAAAATGGAGAGCCCTCCAATTTTAATAATTTTTTTTTTTAAATGATTTTACTTGAGTAGAGTGGAAAGGCCTCAGTAGTTGCTATATACATATTAGCAGGTCTGTCTTTCTCATGAGATCAACATGTATGTCAGATAACTTGCTTTTATGCCTGCCACTGCAACATTTGGTACTCACATTCTAGCACAGAAAACGAATCTAAATCAGTGCTTCTCAACCTCTTTATCAAGGAGAAAGAGGTGCCTCAAGGATAAACTCTAGGCGCGTCTCAGAAAATGCCATCTTTTAGTGCTCACTCGTTTCTTGACTACAGGAAAATAAAGCAATCCTTCTATAGCAAAGAACTTGGAAATATCACAGATGATCAGAATGTTTTTGACACTGTGGATTCCTACTTTAAATCTTATGAATCATATTTGTGCACTCAACAGTGCTAACATCGTGTGGCACCCTTGAAAGGATCTTCTGGCCCCCCTGGGAGCCATGGCACCCTTGCTGAGAATCACTGGTCTAAATCCTCTGGAAAAAAAATTAAGAAGTTTTGAAAAACTGGATCAGTTACATGTGGCTTTTTTTGGTGAGTGTTCATTTCAAATAGCAAAAGCACACACACATCCACAAAAATAAGCCTAATAACCCCAGCTGAAGGACAAGCTGTTCTGTCAGTGCTAAAGAAATACCTCAAGCCATGGCTTTTCTCTTCACACTTCAATTTATAAAAATGACCAACTACACAAGGACCAACTAAATCAGAGATGCATTGCATCAGTTTTTATAAGCAAAGAGCTTCATCATCTGTAGGCCAGAACGACCCAGCTGTGGTTCAACATGGGCCAGGTGGCTTTGGCAGCAGATCAGCAGGCTGGGGAAGGAGAGCAGGCTGCAGATCAGCAGCCTGTGCCCCCTCCAGAGCCATGCAGCTGGGAGCTGTGCCCATGCCACTGCTTCTTCCCAGAGCCCCACTCCGATTGTGGTGTGGGTAGTTTCTACCCAAAAAGGAGCTGTGCTGGGGCTGGGGAGCTGGAAGCTGCTTCTACTTCTGTGTCCTTCCCTGTCCCCAAATGTTCAGCCCAGCCCCAATGCAGCTCCCCCCTTCCTGGAAGTGGTGCTTGCCCCACTGCCTGGGCCAAAGACCAAGTGGGGACAGGAAGAAGCAGCAGTTTCCAGCTCCCTGGCCCCAGCACAGGCCCTTGCTGCTCAGCCCTAGCACAGGCACAGCAAAGGCAAAGTCTTGTGGCTCCACAGGTCAGATCTGGTTTGCAATCCACAAGTTGCCACCCCCTGAAGTAAGCCCTCTGCTTATGAAAGCTTGTGCCATACCTCCATGAGCTAAGAGTTAGTCTATGAGGTGCAAACTTATGCTGCCTTCTGCCTGACTTCAGACTAGCAGGACTAACTACCTCTCTAAATGCACAAGGCCTCTTCCTCACCAGTAGGAGGAAGGGGTATTCATGCTCAAAAGGCATTAAGTACAGTCTACTCCTTCTCCCTAGCAGCAGGGCTGTCAGGCTGGCAAGACTGTCCCCAAGCACCACATAAAGGTATTAGACAGCTACGAGACATTATCACTTCAGAGGTGAAGTCCGTCAAGACAGGCTGTGAGCTCTTGCCTTTCACTTAACCGAATCATGCCTGCAGTCAGCCAGTATGTCCCCTCTGTGACAGAAAAAGCAGGATTTAGAAGTGAGGAGGCCAGGTCCAAATGACCAATTCGAGACATTATCACTTCAGAGGTGAAGTCCGTCAAGACAGGCTGTGAGCTCTTGCCTTTCACTTAACCGAATCATGCCTGCAGTCAGCCAGTATGTCCCCTCTGTGACAGAAAAAGCAGGATTTAGAAGTGAGGAGGCCGGGTCCAAATGACCAATTTAATCAGATATTCCCCCCCCACCCCGGATTGCTATGCTTAGCAAGAAATACTCAGGGTTTACCAGTTTTAAGTTCCCTCCCCCTTCCCAAGAAGCTTAGAGATATTAACTAGTCACTGGATTAGCAGGAGAGGCTCATCATAACCATTGGAGCGCAGAAATAATTTAAACACTCCCTACTCACTTCAGAGCCCATGATTGGATCACCCGCACTAAATGAAGTCTATTTTAATAGTTTTAAATTTTAAAACTAAAGCTACTCTTAGTATTTGGGTGAAGTGCAGCCTTTTGCAAGATTTCCTTTAGCTTCCACAGTACCTAGTTTCTCTCTGTAAAGGAGCTGCCACTTCTCTGGTCCAGATTTTGCTCAGGGACAGAAAACACTCATCCCACTTGGAAGTGATTTAGGGCACAGCTGGACCCTTTTTTATTTTAATTTGCACTTACACATTTGGAATATGAAACCAATGAAGTTACACTAGGGAGCAATCTGATTCCAGAATTATGAAGCAGCTAAATTGAGCTTTTTTTACGGCAAGGAAGCATAACAAAAAGCCTGGCCTAGCACCCAGTTTATTTGGATGTTGATAACAGCTGAAACAACAGAACGTTTCCTTTATTCCCTGTGCTTGGACCGCCTCTGTACGAATTCCAACAGCAAGTACCTGCAGCTTTTTCTGCTCATGCTAGTCATAATTTTAGAAGAATGTGGGACACTCATAATGTGACATTAGGGTACTTTGAGTCAAAGGAAACCTGGTAAGAAGTTTTATTATTTCTGTATGAGGAGACAACCAGCCAAAAACAGATTTAAAAAACCAAGTTACATGCCCCTTCTTTGCTGCTAATGGCCTTTAACATAGCTTAAGCAAAATCATCTCATCCCCACCAGAACAGAAGAGTTCAATGCTCTGCTGCCTTTGCAGACAATTACAGCAACATCTGGGAAATAGGCCATGCCTACGCTCTATTAAAGTAATGACCAATGCAGATGAATACAACCATGTGTAGAGCATAGGCTGGAGTGCAGCTATAAAGCCAAGAGGTAAATCCTTTGACATCCATTCGCTCAAGAACCATTATGACAAACATCAACGGATCTGCAGCAGAAGGGCAAGGGACAGATCTTTGCCTTTACACTACGGACTAGTTTTCAGCAGCAGTTCCCCCAGGAGAGGCAGATAAGGGACGTGACCAGAGGGTCCCAGCTAGACAAATGGTAAGATCCTTTTACTATGGCTTTGAGCCAACTCTTCAAGTCCCACATAAAATTCAGGAGTATGAAAGTTTCCCCTTCATAAACTAAGAATTAAGTCATGCAGCCACCTTCTCAACTCTTTGAAAAAATACAAACTAGAAAAATCCTGGCCAGATGACAGTGGAGAAGAAGAAGGGACAGGGAAAGTCACCTTTAGAAATAAAGGGTTTTGCAGTGTGAGCATTATATTAGTAACTTATCCCAAGGTTAAGACTGCCTTTTCCTCACACATACCACAGTTAAGTCAGGAACTGGTCTCCAATTCTTTGAGCAGAGAGTTTCACTGAAAGAACTGTTTAAACACAGCAAGGAGCTCAGCTCCCAAAGGGGCTACCTGCTCTTGGAAGTAAGATAATTTAAGCCTCTAAGAATTTCTCTCTATGTAGTCCATTATAAGATCATCTCAAATAGTGACCACAAATCACAGGCTGGTTAGGGCCACACCACAAGGGGAAAGTCCCAGTTCAAATTTGCTAGCAATATTATTCTCCCCAAGATATTGGTGTTGAGTGCTGAAAGTGCTTCCAGTGTCAAGTTGGCAGGGACTGCACCCCATGATATGAAGGAGGGATAAAATGCCTTCACTACTGAATGGGGATTGTGCATCCGCTGCTCAGAACAAATGCTTATTAGCCAAGGTTTGTGCAGTAGAAAAGAGAAGGAAATTTTAAATGGAGTAGTAAAGTTATGAAGTTCTAAGACTACATGAACCCTCAAGCTTTAACCTCTGGCCTTCTACATGCACTACACAAGAAAAAAAAAAAAATGTCCTATCAAATGCATTTAATAAAGAAAAGCCACCGGGAGTTAACCGCCCTTAAATTTTATTACATAACCACACACAAACAGTCAAAACTGGAATGTCAACTTTCCCCCTCATAAGCACAATTTACAGTTTTAATTTCACTTTGCATCATAAAATCAACTCACTGACATGCAAGATAATGTCTGTCAAGTGAGGCATGGTCTCAGAATTTGGAAGCCATACAGAACAAAAGTTTGCTGCAAACCGCTTGAATTATCTTTCAGAAACCAGATGGTGCTCCCAACTCTCCCACTGGATAATTTCACCTGGTTTCTCTGTCAATACAACACTCAGGGTTTACTGCAAGGTAGCAATAGTACAAGGGCTAGTGACTAATGCAAAAGTCAGAGAGGATTTTCTGAAGCTAGCAAGAGACTGACTACTACCCAAACTTGTGATAAAAGACTTCCCATTCAGCAAAACAGAAGGTATTATAGTTGTTAGCCCTGCTGATGACAGATATCTGCTACATCAGGTAAGAGTACAATCATTTGAAGATTACAGCTTGCAGCTCAGGAAACAGAGTAAGAGGGAAGTAACAGGTTTGGGTATATTACATATAATCTTACACATTTTAGTTAGAGGTCAAGAAAAAAGGATTATGCACAAAGGTAATGATGAAAGATAACAAAAAGAAAAATGAAAGATGCTACAGATCTGCATAAGTCTTACAAAATGTATAAAGTATTTGTTTCTCTACAATGACCAAAACCTTACAAGTGCAGGTATATATACACATGACATGAAAATATTGCTTCACTCACTCAAATGGGTTAAGGAGAGACCTAGAGAAAAAGCAGCATGCAAAAAAAAAAAGTTCTGGGACTAGAGAGGATTTCTCCTTTGGACACTAGCCTACAGTACAAAATGAACCTAGATCTACAAGTTGCAAAAAGGTTTTAAAATCAATATGCTGGCATTTACTGTACATTAATGTTAATTGTTTAACAAAGCCAAGAATAAATATTAAGCCACTTCATACAGCCTGCACATAGCTGCATAGGCATCCATGGTGGCAGAGAATGCAATGCAGACATACTAGATTGTTCCCAAACAAAACAAAATTAAGACTAGAGAAAGATTTCCCAGGCAGGAAGCAGTAAACTACACAGCCAGACTAACTGCATTTGGGGGATTTATAAGTAATGTTACTCTCAACAGCTTTCTTGTGTGTGCGCAGCTACTAATAACCTCACTGTGATACTTCATCAGGACAGAAAACAGAATGTTTGGTAGAACAGTTACCTTCTTAATTTCTCCCCAATGATTAAAGGGAACATATGGGACTGAAAAACCTGACTATCAGAGAAAACTAAGTGTAGTTATTTCTTCAACTGTTATAATCAAACCCCCACTCATCCTCCCCCACAAAAAAAAAAAAAATATACATTTAAGGGGAGTTTCATGGGGTGATATCCAGCAGCAGATGTTCCACCACAAACATGTCCATCAGATCAGTGCCTACATTTCAAGCCCAGAAGTCATCACATTCAAAGGGAATTTTAGGGATAAGGGAATGTTAGCCCTACAATTGAAGCTCTAGGATGAAAGGAGGAGTTTGGAGACAGGATGTGAAAAAGGAACAGAGGGAGTCACTGAATCACAGGAGATAGGAAGTGCACATAAGTTCCTAACTGAAACACAGACAAAGAAAGGGGCACAAATCATCTAGAGAAGGTCACAGATTCTGACAGCACTGGAGTTTGTTGGATTTCTGTCCATCGGTGGTTGGTGGGACGCTGATATCAACCACGTTGTTGCCAGGAGATTCATCATGAGCAGATCGATCTGCAATTTGCTTCTGCGAAACAATGCGGTAGATTTCTGTAACCAAGAACAGACTTGTTATAGCCTAGACAGACAGTTCCTCCAGCAAGATGTATGCAAGGACTATAAAATACTGCCAGGGGAGATGGTAGAATTCACTGCTGAGGGGAGCTGAACGTAAAATCGGGGAACTACTACAAGCAATCTAGTTCCCCGAACCCTGGTGCTTACCCACCAAAAGTTCCATTACAACCAGAGAAAGCACTTATCTTTATGATAAAAGTTTACATTGTGATTAGGAGCACACACACAAAAAGTCTCTTCTAAGCCCAAACACACTTTCTGGTTCTCATCCCACGATATATGGTGCAGGACAAAAACACGCATTGACAGCTCAAAACCATTTTATTTATTTATTTATTTATTAGCTTGCTTATTAGCAGGGATCCAGGCTTTCCGTTTCCCGTGGAAAAACAGAGTGAACCACAGATTTTACCTTTTACTGAACGCAAACACGGATTTCTCGTTTTTACCAGAGAAACCCACAGATTTTGCAGAGTTCTGTGCAGTGGCAGAGCTCCAGGCTGCAGGGAGCTGGGATGAAGGCGGTTCATATGCACGTACATGGCCTCAGGCAGCCTGAGAGCAGCTCCAGCAAGTAAGTGGGAAGGGAGAGGGGAATTGAGGCCCCTGCAGGGAGGGAAGGTGCTTGGGGCCACAATGTGCGGCTGGAGGGCCACAGCAGGGAGCAGGATGGGGCCATGGGTGGCTTGTCCAGGAGAAGGGGTTGGGGAGGGCCGGCTCCCTGCTGCCATGCGCACTCCTGAGGGGCAGGGGTACCTGCACCCCCAGATCTGTATTGGGGGGGCAGGCACAGGCTGCAGGCTTAGGCTCCCACCCCGCTTCCCTCCCCTGGGGCCTCCACAGCCCAGCGGACATGACCTGGTGCGGCAGGGAACAGTGGAGCTGTGAGCTCCATGCTGCCCTGGTGATGTGCCTCCTGCGCGCAGGGCTGCCATGAGGGCAGCAGCGCGGGACTGCACCTCTCAAAGCAGTGGTGCACACAGGAGGTGCATCGCCAGGACAACACAGAGCTCGCAGTGGCAAGGAGATCCCCGTGCAACTTCACTGTTCCCTGCCGTGCTGGGTTGCACTCACTGGGCTGCAGAGGCCCCAGGGAAGAGAAGCAGGGCAGAAGCCTGTAGCCTGCACCTGCCCAGTGTACAGATCTGGGGGGCAAGGGTCCACTCTGTCGCTTGGGAGTGCGCACAGTGACAAGGAGCTGCCCCCCTCCCTTTCGCTGCCCAAGCCCACAGGAGGCAGCAGCAGGGAACGGGAGCAGAGGCCTGCGGACCTGGATTCACAGCCCTGGCAGCTGGGGGCCCCCCCTCCAGCAGGGTTGGGGGAGCAGGGGGGGGGGTTATTAAAGAATCTGCAATTTTTTTAAATCAGTGAAAACTAGGTTCCCTGTTTATTAGATAATCATATTCTTCTGTCCTGTAATAAAAAAGCCATGGAACTAAAACTTTAAAAGCGACTTATTCTGTTCTTTAAGCCAACTCTTTTTCTCCAATGTTCTGCTTGATACAAAGGATATGGTTGATTTTACTACAAAATCTTTAGTGAACTATAAGGCATAAAGATTAATTCAAAGATCACTTTATACCTAATGGAACACAACCCTGCCTTAACAACGAATGCAAAACCCACAACCTTCACTAGTACTACAATATACACTGCTCACAACAAAACCACCAGAATCCACAGACCCCATGCATCTATCCCAAACTGCAGCATCTCAAATGCACCAAATGCCTTCATGGAAATTATATGGGTGAAACTAGACAAAACTACTGTATTTACTCGAACAGAAGATTACCCTGGTAAGACACCCTCCCTCAATAGTTAGATTCTATATATGGGAAATTTACAAATTTGTTGCATCTTTCCAGGTATAGAATCTAATTATTGGATGTTTGCCTTGAGTTTGTTCCCCTCCCACTGCTACAGCAGAGAAAATAGATTTGGAGATCAGGTAGCCCCATTGTTCTCTGCTTCCCCCACCCCAACTTTTTCCCTTAGCAGCCCCTACCACCTCTCCTTATGGTCAGATTCTGCTCTCCCTGACCACAAAGTGAGGAGCAAATTTGAAAACAATAACTTTGAAATCAAAGATAGCTGTAGCAATCTGCATATCAACTAAGCATGACTATAAAATCCATGGCCCATTGGCCAAACATGCATTATTATTATTATTATTATTAATTCTGTGTCTCAGGCCAAATTAGCCAAATCAGTTCTGAATTCCATTGACTGACAAGAGCTCAGTCATTCAGGTCTGTGTGGTGCTACCATCAGCAAGTATCCTACCTCCCAAACTCAGTCTTGGGTTTCAGATGCTCCTAAATCCATGGCAGGCATCTTATGTGCAAGCCCCAAGCGTGGAAGTCTTGGAGTTCAGATGCAATACAAATTATGCATGATATTAGTCCAAAGCCAAAGGCTCCTGATTTACTGCATAATTCACTGGGCAATTTATGAAGCCAAACCTTTCCACGTCACTTTGGCATGACAAATGAGCCTGAGAGTAGAAGACTTGATACATACTATACCATTAGTCCCAATGCTGCAAGTCAAATGCATGAATTAAGGATGAGAAACAAAACTGCCTTTTATAAGCTGGATTCCTTTTAGTGACATGCTTCACATTAGCTTCCCCCCACCTTACAAAACTCTCTAGTGTGCCATACTTCCAAAAATCCAAAGGTGAAGTCATACCTGTAAGAATGTTCTTGAAGGCTTCTTCTACATTTGTTGAATCCAGGGCAGAAGTTTCAATAAAAGATAAGTTATTTTTTTCTGCAACAAAGAACAAGTAAATTAGACACTTAGGCATAGTAACTGAAAGCGTTGCCCTCAAAACAAGGTTTTTGTTTTAAAAACTGCCAGGGCCCTAAGTCTCGTCTTCTTTGTAAAGTTGGGAGGAGTCAAAAATATTCTTTCAAATGGCTACAGCAGCCCCTTTTATTTTATTAGAAGCACTATTAGCAGCAACAGGAGTTGCTGCCTCCATGATCACTGTCCCCACCTCCCTGGCCCAAGCATTTCCCCCTGCTTGGCAAAAGGGCCTTCAATAGAGTCCTACCCCTCTGCAAAGTATTATTTCTCAAAAACTTCCAACAGCAGCATGAAACTACCGTTGTTTTGTGGTTACCAGCAACACAGATGTGCCTCTGAGGAAAAACACAGGACTGATCATGTAGACCGATAGTTCTGTAGGATTCATGACTAGGAAAATGCAAGACCTGTATGATTGCACCTCCAAATAACAATAAATTTCCAGAGACAGAATACACTGGAAGGTACAGGAAACTAAAATAAAGCGGAGGGTCTTCCCAACCAGATTGTGTACCACCATTGCCATGAGCGTTTAAACACAGGAAAGAAGATTTACAGCATTACCTGCCAAACCAAGACTGAACTTGTTTCAAGAGCTTACAATGCAGAGCCTGCAGATGGCGGGGGGGGACAAACGGACGGACAACAATTTTCAGTTCCTGTATCACAAGTGACACAGGCTGTCTGTGTGTGTGGGGCATGTGGCAGACTGCAGCAGCACATAGGCCAGGGAGCAGAAAGAAGGGCAACAGATCAGGCAGGGGAAGGGGATCAAAGTGGCACTCAGTGGGCGTGTCCACACCTGCAGCAGCTTGAATAGAAGTGGTGCAAATTTGACCCAGGGCTTTTTGCCTCAGTGCACATGCTCAGACATGCACAATTTGCTCCACAATGAAGTGCCACTTGGGGCAAAATAACCCTGCCTGGCTCCTCCCAGATCTGCAGCCAGGAGGAGCTGGAGCCCAAGGCCAGCACCTGTGCTGTCCCTAGCAGTGTAAGAAGCTGCCTTGTCCTGGCTCCATCAGTACAAAAAGCTGCCCTGGCAAGTAGCTCAGGGCTACTTGCTCTCAGGAGTTTGAGGCCCAGCCTATTGGTACCTGGGGACACTACCCCTTGTGCCAGCTGGACTGGCTAAGCAGCCCTGAGAGTTCCCTGCACCCTTTACCCACTGCAGCAGTCCAGCAGTGGGGGTTGCTGCCTGGCTGTGACCTACTGCACACCTGCCAGACGCGGATGGGGACTGCACAGCCAGTAGAGGCATTTGCCCCTCTGGGCCAGCTGCCAGTGGGCTGCGTCTGCAGAGTTGGCCTCTGTGCGGCACTGTGCTATGGGTGCCCCCTGTCCGGCCATCTGGGCAGCTATCGCCTGGAAGATGTTCCAAGTGTGGTGGCCTGCTTTGAACTGTCAAAGTTTCTGGCCCCTTTGTGCCCGGGGGGCCGGCCACAGCCAGATGATTCCAAAGTTCCAGCTGTGAGCAGGCAGGGTCCTGCCGCTGGCCTCCCTAGCAGGAATTCTGGTGTTCCCTATTGGAAAAATGAAAAATCCCCGATTAAAAAAAAATCCCAAAGTCACTCTGTAAAATACCCACAATCCATGTTCCTCCACAAGTAAAAAAAAAAAAAGACCAGTATAAAGAGAGAGAGAGAGAGAGAGACAGCAATCAGTTGGACAATGTTTTATTATTTATATATCAACAGTTTAAAAGTAATTTGAAAGCCTACCAGTGTCTCCATCATAAAATGAACTCTAAATACATTTTTCATGAATACATGAAAATATATTTTGCTGCCCTCCCACAAGGGCTATGCCCGCCCACCCCCACAAGGCCCACATGCCCCACCTCAGCCCCCG